TATCCTAATGAAAAGTAAGGTAAGTTTTTGGTTTTTTTTTAAAGATTTTATTTATTTTTTAGAGAGCGAGCGAGAGAGAAACAGCATGAGAGGGGAGAGGGTCAGAGGGAGAAGCAGGCTCCCCGCCGAGCCGGGAGCCCAATGTGGGACTCGATCCCAGGACCCTGGGATCATGACCCGAGCCGAAGGCAGACGCTTAACCATCTGAGCCACCCAGGCGCCCAAAGTAAGGTAAGTTTTAAAGGTCATTTATGTAATTATAGAATGAGAGACCTAATCAACATAAGGGAAACTCAAACAGAGGGGAAACTTGAGGTGAAGAAGATCTGTGGGACTTTAGGTGGTTTCAGGTTTGAGGCAGTTTGCAGGCAGACCCCAAAGGTGAGCCGTTTTGGAAATCTGGACGTCACAGGCCTCAGATCTCACGCACACCGGGCAGTGTCAGTCACGTTTACAGCAGGCACATTGAGAGGGGTTGTAAAAATTTATTTTTACAAGCGCTTGCTCAGAAACGGAGCTACTTACCTGCAATGCCTGTGGTGTTTATGCCGCATTACCAGAAGCCCTTTTTTTTTTTTTTTGGAAGCGTGAAGAAAAACAAACAAAAATAGTCAAAACTGTGTATTTGCCAGAATAGAAAGTAATTTTTCACTTCATAAAATAACCGCCCACCCTGAGATGATTTTCTGCTTCATAGACTCTAAGTCAGAACTGAATTTCACCCAACCGTTGCAAATTGGCCAACAGAAGATCCGCTAGAAGATCTCACTCACGCCACGCGAAGCCTTGTTTCTTCCACAATTCACAGGGGCGCAGTAGGGGCCCCCGGAAGAAGGAAGTGGTCCACTCTGCTTGGGCGGAATGAGCTGAGAGACTCACAGAGGAAGTGATCCTTACACTGTATCTTGGAAGCAGAGGAGGTATTTGCCAGGCAGGTGAGGCAGGGCTTAGTGGAAAGGTCGTAGGTACAACCCAGAAAGTGGGAGCAGTGCGGGCTAAGGGGTGGTGGGGTGACATCGTCCGGTCCCCTTGTGACTTTGGAGGTCAGGAAGGAGGTAAGGCACAATGAAATAAATATGGGGTGGAGAGCTGAGCTGCCCAGAAAGCAGGGCCAGATTCGTGGACATCCTTGTACGTTGTACTCAAGAATTTTTCATTCCTTTATTTAATAAATTGATGTATTGAAAACGTACTAAACGACAGGCCTTGGGGAGATAAGACACATTTTGTTGTTGTCCTCGTGGAGGTTATAGTATAAAAAGGGCAGACAGACATTAAATCAATAATCACACACATAACTACTTAATTTTACTTGTGATAAGCTCTTGTGGGTGAAGGACAATGCTTGTGTCATGAGGGTTTGTAATGGAAACATCTAACTTAATCTGAGGATCCTAGAAGGCTTTCCTGAGGAAGTGACCATGAACCTGAGAACAGAGTAGAGGCTACTGAGTCAGAGGAGGGCTTATTTGGGTGGAGTTGTTGGGTGGGGTTGGAAAGAACGTTGAGGGCAGATGTGACAGGGGCAAAGGCCTGGGGACAGGGAGTTTCGCGGGGCTGTAGAAAACCCAGAAGCCTATGGATGGACTTTAATCAGAGGAGCCTCATGATCGTATTTGCATTTTAGAAACCCTCCCCTGGCGGTAGCATGGGAAATAGCAACAGCATACGGGACTGAAGGTAAATAGACCATGTAGCTGTGTGCTGTTATCCTAGATCCAGTGGGAGGGTCAAGGTGAGAGCAAAAGCTGTAACAGTGTGGACAGAGAGGAGGGAATAGATTTGGTAGATAAAGGGCTAGAAATGGCTGTTCTTTTTTAATTAAAATTTTAAACCATTTTATTTATTTGAGAGCGAGAATGAGTTAGAGAGCACAAGCAGGGGGAGCAGCAGAGGGAGAGGGAGAAGCAGGCTTCCCGATGAGCAGGAAGCCCGATGTGGGGCTCAATCCCAGGACCCTGGGATCATGACCTGAGCCGAAGGCAGACACGTAACCAACTGAGCCACCCAGGCTCCCCAGAAACGGCTGTTCTTAATGACCAGTGAATTAGATTGGAAAGAAGGGAGGAGGAAGTCAAAAGAATGACTCTAGGGTTTCTGGATGGAGCAACTGGGTGGATAGTGAAATGGAGCACAAAGATAAGATGTGGTGGAGGATTAGGAGGAGCCAAGGAGCTTCATTGTGGACATGCTTAGTTGGAAGTGCCTACAGAAACGTCCCATGGGCAGCTGGATGCGAGCATAAAGTTCCAGGAAGACTTCAAAGCTGGAATTACAGAAATGAAACACATCTGCAATTAGGAGGTGGTGGAATTGAGAGCTCACCCCGGGAATGTGAACTGAGTGAGAAGACCGGAGTTTCCAAGACCACACCCTGGGAAACATAGCTATTCAACAGGTGAGCATAGAAAGAAGAGGTAGAAAGGAGCCCGAAGAAGAATGACCAGAGAGGTAGAAGAATCAGAAGAAAGCGTATGCTGGATATTCTCCATCTGCCCCTCCTACTCTGCGTTCTTCCCTTCTTCATCCTGCTTTGTGAGCCCTGTGGACTGCATCTACTGGCTCTCTCACTCTCTGGCTTCTAGAGGTCAGCAGCTGGGAGGCACTGACAGAGAAGGGAGGGCCAGAAGAGAGAGAGAAGCTGGGTGATTCCTCCTGTTGGATTCTGGACTGTTAGTGGCTCTGTTCCTCTACCCAAGTCCACACTCCTATTGTGCATGCGTAGCTGAGGTTCTTTCGTCTCTTGCAGACCTAAGGGTGGGAAAGGTGGTCCTCCTGTTGCTAAGTCCTTAGGTCCCTCATCTTCCTTTCCTGGTTCACCTTAATCCCATCTAGAGCTTTTCCAACAGCTCCTTCATTAACCTCTGTCCAGTCATTCCTGTTTCTTGCCATCTGCATCCTGTTGGGATCCTCACCTTTACAGAGTTCTAGCACAAAGCCACAGAATGAGTTTCAAGGTGGGGGTGGTCTCCAGCGTCAAATGCTGTGAGACCTTGTTTGATGAAGGCTGAGGAGTCCATGCTATGTAGCAACTGGAGGGTGTTGTGGCCTCAACTGGCACAGGCTAAGGGAATGATGGGCTGGAGCCTGATGGCAGTGCACCAAGGAGTCAATGGAGAGGCACTGACCATTCCTTTGAGGAGCCTAGCTATTTAAAGAGAAGAAGGTGGTATTTTGAGGGAGCTGCAGGGTGGTGTTTTCTTCCTTTGATTTTTAAAAAATTTTTTAAAAGATTTTATTTATTTATTTTAGAGAGAAACAGAGAGCATGAGTGGGGGGAGGGGCAGAGGGAGAGGGACAAGCAGACTCTGTGCTGAGTGTGGAGCCCGATGCGGGGCTCCATCCCAGGACCCTGAGATCATGACCTGAGCTGAAATCAAGAGTCGGACGCATAACCACCTGAGCCACCCAGGCGCCCCTCTTCCTTTTATTTTAATGCTGAAGGGACTTGGGCACGCTTTTAGCCAGTGGGAAGGAGCTACTAGACAGAGAAAGCTTGGAAGTGAAGGAATGGGAAACATGAATGGATCCATGCCCAGGACTGTAGCAGGAGCTGACCGGAGGGATTAACCTTGACCACAGAATGCTGACTTCTTAGCTCAGAGCCAAGGAGTGAGTGTAGATGTGGACAGTAAATGTGTACTGCTGTGGGGTAGGGAAATGAGGGGGTTTCTTCCTGACAGCCTAAATTTTCTCAGTGAAAGTTCAAGGGCAAGGAAATTTCAAAATTGCAATTGTGAACAACAGGGGAGAAACTGATCAGGGACCAGTGAAGGTCTCAAAAGTTTGCTAAAATAAATGAATAAATGATTGGTCTAAATGATATAAACCAGAATGCAGCATGTGTGGAGAAGTGATAATGTCATGAGATACAGTTGGAAAGGTAGGATGTGTCTAGATTATGGAATTTGGTCTTTATATAGGCAATGGGGAGCATGAAATTTTTCTGGGTTTTTGTTTGTTTGCTTATTTTTTTCTTTTTAGTAATCTCTACACCTAACGTAGGGCTTGAACTGACAGCCCTGAGATCAAGAGTTGCATGCTCTACCCACTGAGCCAGCCAGCCACCTGCATCGAAGGTTTTTGATTAGTGGAGAGATGAAGAGAACATAAGACTTTTGGGGGGGGGTGAGTGGGGAGGAGAAGTACTAAAGGTTACAAAGAGGCCTTAAAATAATCTAGGAGCTAGATAAGGATGTGCCTTATTTGGGGGTTGAGAGTAGAGATGACGAAGTTAAGAGCCACTGAGGAGCCAGATCCTATGAGACTAGTGGTGATGCCAACAGGTGCATTGGGGGATGGTTAGTTCCTTTCCCCAAATTCAGTCCTCTTCCATCTTAATCCACCCTAAATATACACTCTGAGCCAAAGCAGGGTGCTTTCTGTGCAAACACTGGTTTGACATGAACTGCCTAGCCCCATCCAGATTGCCACACTGAAATGTCTCCCTGTATAGACATATACGAACTTCCACAGCATAGAGCTTAGAGGTGACTCAGATACAGGAACTACAAGAGAAAGAGTCGGAGATAAGATAGCAATTTCAGTTGGCTTTCCTGGGTGGATGTCATGATACTGTTGATCAAGAAAGATCACATTTGTGAAGGAAAATGATGAATTTTAGGTCCCGGGATGATCTATGTGGATTTGGGCCACTGGGGTTGAGAATGTGAGTCTGGAGCTTGGGAGGGAGGCCGGGCCTCGTGGCGCTGATGCAGGTGAGGCCTGTATGGGGCTGATGGTGAAGCGGCGGGGCCCAGGGAGAGCGGTACCTCAGAAAGACCGGGAACAGCTCTTTGAGGAATGGTCTCTGAGAGGGCAAGCAGAGGTGGACGAGGGGTGTCAGGAAGGAAAAGGAGAAAATGCCAGAAAAACAGGAGGATACACAGAAGAACACAGCTCCTGACAGCCCAGATTGGAGAGTCCCACCAAGGAAGGGCTAATTGAGGATAATGGCATATGGTAGCTTTTCCTTTTTACAAACAATACCACTTCTCTTCTTGAAGACTGATTTCTAATTTACAGTTCGGTCTATAAAATGGTCCCTCTTTTAACATCACTTACGAACAAATATTTAGAGTTGCTCTGAATCCCCCTAACTTTGTAGTTTCACGATCACCGTCCAGAAAGCTGTGCTGTTCTTTGTGTGGAATTTGTTTAAAAAAAATCTGTTCAGCGGTTCTAAGGGCTTCAATCTGAACTCAAAATGTTACTTGAATTCCCTTTGATTTTCGAGTTCCACATCGTAGTAGAGTAGGTCCTCATACAGCAAGCCAGCCCCCAATAGGTGGCCCTGGGTCTGCGTTTGAATATTTTCTAACTGCAACAGGTTCTCTTCTGAGTATTTACCCCAATCTCTGCCATTGAAGGGCTCCTGCGTTCCTGGTAAACTGGTTTCACTTGGGAGCTCTTGTAATAATGGCACCTGGCTCCTGGAACGGCTTTCAGCATAACCCCGCTCTCCTCTTTCACACTGAAGAGCCGGTTCATCACTACAGGATTGTAACAATTGTGTGCGGCTTCTAACCTTTCTGGAATCCGAGTCCTCAAGAGTGCATGCCAACCCCTCATTCGCATCAGTGTCCGTCAGGTGGGGATTCATGTTGCCCCCTTCCGAATTTTGTTGTGAGGCTCCTAAGTTTTCACCGGCAGTGATTTTGAGAGGAACATCATTTTGAGCTGTGTTCATTTCCTGAAGGCAAGGTTCATATTTATAAATGTCTGAGTCTCTTTCACGACAGTCGCTCTGGTCAGGATCTGAGGGAACTTCAGCAGACCATGGTGGTGTTTGTGGTACAACATCTACATTTAAAAATTCTAAGTCTCTAAGTGAGTAATGCCACTCTACGGCCTCAGATCGGAGAGCTGCGGCATAATCGCAGATGACCATGCCTGGGGTCTCATCCCCGGAGGGACTGTTACTGCCCAGTGATCCAGGCACGGTCAGTGGACCCTCAAATGTGTTGGTGTTAGAGGCACCTTCCAGATGAGTCTCACACAAACCTGAGTCTGGACCAGAAATGAGAGGGTTTTCAAAACAGTCCTCCTGATTCTCACACTTCTCCAGAATCTTCTGGCAGGGGATATTGTCCTCAGGATCCTCTGATGATGTAACATTGTCCTTCCTCACCCCCGAGTTCTCGTCCTCCGGGGGCTCACTGGCTCTGTGGCTCTTCTCACCATGTGCCTCTTCTTCAGTCACATTTCTTGCATCCTCTGAACTTGTTGAACTTAGAGTAAATAAAGACCCTTCATCAGAATCAGAATCGTAGCTGCTGTCCAATGGGTACTGAGGGTCAGGAGGAGCATGTTTCTGCCCTGGTTCCACGTCACTGAGTGGGACCGCACCGTGGGAGGCGGGAAGCCCTTCCTCAGCACTGGCCCCCTGGAGCCTTTGCTGCTGTGTGTCCTGCAAATTCAGGTAAGTGCCCACTTGCATTTCCTTGGAAAACTCCGAAGGTAACCGCTCATTCTCTCCAGCCCCCTGTGCTTTCGTATGCGTTTGCATTTGAGAGAGAGAAGCTGCCATTTCTCCTGAGAGGGGTGCATTTAACTCACCCGAGTCACTGTGAATTGAGCCAGAGACAGTCTGCAATCTGCCAGCTCGCACAGGGGCGCCCGCTGAATGCACGCTGGGAGAACCTTCCTGGGCCAGAGTTGCATAATTTACTTCCCCGAGAGCATCTTTCCTGTGGATGTGATCCTGCCCTGCTGGAATTCGTTGGTTATGACCAGCATTCGGCTGTCCTTGGAGAATGGAATGGGCTGCGCTGTCACTCAGAAGTATGTACTCCTTCCCACCTCCTGGCCCTCTGCTGTCCCCACACGGCCCCCTGCTCTGCCACCTGCCAGGCTCCCTTCCGCATTCTCCTAGAGGTCCGTTGGGGATGACAGCAGCGCGGGGGCTGGCGGGCTCTTGGAGGGGCCGATCTGTCCTCAGGTGCTGGGCGTTCCCTGCAGCTTCAGTGTCGTCACAGAAGCCCTTGTTTGAGTACGCGTTATCCGCGTTGTCCCCATTGTCGGAGCTGGGCCTTTTGCGTGCGCATCTCTGGTGCCACAGTCTGTCAATGAAAGGCCTGGCGAAAGCCCCCAGGCAGAAAGCCACGAAGAACGTGATGAACACGGCCAGGCAGACGGCCAGGGCGAGGTCCTGGGAAGTGTCTCCCTGTCTGCCAGCCGTGGGCACATCCCTGGGGCTCCTGGCCCCTCTGGGCAGTCGGCGTGGCCTCTCGCTGGCTGGGGCGCCCGCGGGGCCCTTCCTCCATGCGGTGCCAGGGCGCTCAAACCAGCCTGCCTGGGGCCTCTTGGATTGGCCCGGCGGGAGGCTTTTCACAGGCTTCGCAGGACCGTGAGGAAGGTGGGTCTCCTTGGAAATTCCACTTTGGAGGGTCCACTGGTCTGCCTCCTCGTTCCCTGGAAGCGGGGTGGGGGGAAACACAGTGAGTGGACACGAAAGTAAGGCTCTGTGGGTCCTCCTCAGTCCTTACCTGGCTGTCTCAGGTGTGCATGGCATGACGGTACGCAGCTTTACTGACTGATCAATTGGTTGTAACCAACAGTATGTCTCCGGCCACGTGCGCTTTTACACCTGGCCGTCAGGCTTTGGCCTGCTACTTAGAGGCCCGGGAGGCTGTCCGTTTCTTAGGCTTCTTGCCTGATTGCTGCTCATGCGAGGAAAGAAGACGGGGACAGCTACACCGCTTCTCCTTCCTCTGACTCCTCCACCTACTGCCCATTTTGGAGAACATTCCATCAGCCCCTGCACAACCTCCCTTGGCTCTACCTATGTGCAGGGTATCAATTTCTCACTGTGCCCCAGGGCTGGCAAACAGAAACATTGAGGTTTCTTACTGGCTCCTGCCATTCTGCCTTCCATACCCAGAATGCCAGTTGTGGTTTCTACAGAAGAGTGAAACAGGGTGGCTGACATTAAGACTTCTCTGTGATCCGGGCGCCTGGGTGGCTCAGGCGGTGAGCATCTGACTCTTGGTTTCGGCTCAGGTCGTGATTTCATGGGTGGGGAAATCAAGCCCCCAGTGGGGCTCCACACTCAGTGGGGAGTCTGCTGGAAGATTCTCTCCTTCTGCCCCTCCGCCCACTCGCTTTCTCCCTCTCTCGAATAAATAAATAAATCTTTAAAATTCATAGATTTTGGGGCGCGTGGGTGGCTCAGTTGTTAAGCGTCTGCCTTCGGCTCAGGGCATGGTCCCAGGGTCCTGGGATCGAGCCCCGCATCGGGCTCCCTGCTCAGCGGGAAGCCTGCTTCTCCCTCTCCCACTCTCCCTGCTTGTGTTCCTTCTCTTGCTGTGTCTCTCTCTGTCAAATAAATAAATAAAATCTTTTAAAAAAATAAATAAAATAAAATTCATAGATTTCTTCTAAACCTAGTAAGCATGGCCATTTTCTACTTTAGTGGCAGTCATGAACAGAACAGAGTCCAGGACTTATTACAAAAAACCTTACCTCCCCCCACCCCCACCCCCGTCCCCATACCCAGTTAGGAGTTTGGGATTTAGCCAAGATAGTTAATGGCAAAAAAAGTTTTCCAGAATGTTCAACTCTGGTAACATAGTCTAGCATTTTGGGAGAATGTCAGGGAACAAATCAAAGTATACTTCTGAAATATATGTGTTTTGTGTGTGTGTATATATATATACATAAACACATATATACACACACACAAAACACACACACACATATATATAACAGGATTATAATTTCATAGGGTTAGCAAGCATTTTATTTTATTTTAATTCCAGCATAGTTAACATATGGTGTTATTTTCAGAGGCAAATGCTTTAAATAATCATGTTTTGTGTTTTAAAAGTTCTTTCTTTGATTAGTTATTTGTTAAGAATTGGGATTGAGGCGCCTGGGTGGCTCTGCTGGTTAAGTTAAGCCTTTGACTTGAGCTCAGGTCATGATCTTGGGGTCCTGGGATCAGCTCAAGTTGTGATCTTGGGGTCCTGGGAATCTGCTCGAGCCCCCCCCCACCTCAGGCTCTGGGCTCAGCAGGGAGTCTGCTTCTTCCCCTCCGTCTGCCCCTCCCCCTGCTCCTGTGCATGCCCTTGCTCACACACTCTCTCAAATAAGTAAAAATCTTAAAAAAAAAAAAAAAAGAATTGGGATAAAAATGTGACATTTTGGGGCTTTTCTCTCCCTGTGAAATTACTGTTTTTGACCAAATCCAATTGTTTCTGAGCAGTTTGAACTAGGTTTCTTTGACCATGTGAAGAAAATCATCCATGAACTGAGGGAAACAGGTACCAGTGATTATTCTGTGACACAGCCCGCGGCTGACTTAAGCCCTAATCAGCACTCTTGCTTTCAAGGGGACTGTCATGGTTTCCAATGAGCTCAATTTTCCATGGGCTTTTCTCAGTTCAGCTGGAACCACTTCGGAGAGGAGATGCCACTGACTTACCTACAGACTTACTGCAGATGACATTCCATGTTTTCCTCCAGGATTCAGAAAGGACCTTTTGGAAGGCTGCCACACTGCAGTCACACTCCCATTGGTTATCAGCCAAGTCCACCTCCAGATGGGGAAGCTCCAGAGCAATGACCATCATGGGCAGGATGGTGGTCAGAACATTGTTGCTGAGGTCTACCACCTGTTTGAGAAGAAACAAGTTTAGGGCAGTCTGTGAATCAAGACATTTAGAGACAAAATAAATACTAGTTTCAGGTATTGTTTACATTGCTAGGGAGGCAATACAAATTTAGCCCTGATTTGAGAGTTAGAGAATACTGGGTTTAAATTTCTGCTCTGCCCCCTAGCAACTCTGTGAGCCTCAGCAAACTGTTCACTTTTTAGGAGGCTCCTTCCTAGGGTTGTTGTAAGGGTCAGATGTATGTGAAAGCTTTAAGTATGGTGCCTATGTTAGATGCCCAGTCCTTTCCCCTCCCTTCTTTCCTATGAGTTGCAATTTGTACTGTTAGACAAAACCAAGACTCCCGGTGGTTATCAAGGTCTAGAATTAGATACCAGGTCTAGAATTTCTGGAAGCACTGTGATCTTGAAAGTGACCAAAGACACTGGGCCATGAGAACATAGAACACAGAAGAATTGTGGTTGACCAGAAGTAGCAAAGAGAGATCTTTTGCATCAACAATTATCTCAAGGGTGGTAGTACATTTCCCTGCATCCATGGCCACCTGGTATATACAAGATGACTAATTTTTCTAGTCTAATCAGAAACAAAGAGGAACCTGGGGACCAAAAAGGCTTCAGTGGCTCTAGAAACATAGAGCAGGATCTGCAGAAGTTGGATATGGCTGTGACATGATTCAGCAGGGAAGGCAGTTGGGTGTAGCTCTTGCTACCATTTGCAGAGTGCTGCTATGTACCAGGCATTCTACTGGGTGCTTCAACCTTCCCCTCCCCTTTTCACAGAGGAGGAAACTGGGCTAGGTCACACAGTACATACCACAAAGCCCCTAGTACCAGGGCCTGGTACACAGCAGGTCCTCAGTAAATAATGGAGAAAGGAATGAATGAATGGACTGGCAGAGTTGAGATCTGATCTAGCTCCACAGCTGTGTGACTTCCACTCTGGAACACGCTTTCTTGGAGCCTGGGCTCCCACTGCACGGGAGGAAAGGGCTGGGTGGAGGAGGCCTGCAGCAGGAGGTGTCAGGGGGTGGGGGGTCGTGGGGCTTAGGGAGGGGCGGGTTGGTAGTTAGAAGAACAGAAAATCATAAAAAAAAAATGTAAGCCTTGCTGGAAGGGGGAAAAAAAAAAGGAAAAGAAAATTGGACCATCAATGAAAGCCAGAGCGGATGAATGTTATCCAGGTCAATGGTTTTATAAACATCAGGGAAAAAACAGCATTGGCATCTTGGGTTATATAAATTCCTAAGAAGAACTGATTCAAACAATCAAACAGCACCATGACCACGACCACTACGTGTAGAATCAGAATTCTCCCTGAACTTAGGTAGTGACAGTGACCTTTCCAGTGTTGAGTAACCAAGTAGTCTTGACTCCCAAAGGAAGGTTGCCGAAAACAGGAAGGAGGAGACTTGGGGGCTCGGGGTAGAAAGAACCACTTCGCTTGGCCAGGCCTTGCCTGTGATCAATAGCTTTCTTATGTACCCCTCCTCAGCAACAGAGTGGAATACTCCGATATTTTCCTTTTAGTGCACATCTGCATTTTCTTCATCCCAGCATCTTACTATATTACAAATCATGGAACTGAAAACAAAACTGGAGCAAGGACAGAAAACTAATAAAATGACTCAGGAGGAGTAATTTCCAAGGAAAGATTAAAGCAGAACAGTCTAATTTGCCTAAAGAAAAAGCCATCCACCATCATTTGAAAGGGGTGTACACTACAGAAAGATTGGAAGAGGCAACTAATGTTGCTACACAAGTCACTGCATCTAAGAAGAATGGGAAAGATTAAGAAAAGAAATGCTAATTTGAAATGCCAGTGAAACTTACTTCGTTCCATCTAAACGTGAGGATGAATTTATGGTTTGAAAACTCCCATCTGGCTTCTGAAGATTCCCACATGGGAAGACACGTAGCATAGTGCAAGTACTAAATGCATCTCCCGAAAAAGAAAAAAACCAACATCTATTTTGATATTCAGCTTTCTGGTACCAAATAGTTCCGTCAAGTTCCAAAACCAGTTTTTAGAGTTATTGGCAAACATGTAGAAGGGATAATGGAGAAGGAGAAATTGTATGATTCTGGGCAGTTCAGGTGAAGCGAGAATTACAGATGATTTCTTGGGGCTAAATGTTTTATGCTAAAAACACTTTTAGTTTGCCTGTAGCATCTCTTACCTGTGAGCTACAGAACACCTATGAAGCACAGTAAAAATGCATAGGAAATAACAACAGACATAGGGCAATCACCACACAAATACACCTATGATCAGTATACAGTATACTAAATGAGGTTCCCAGGCAACCCAACAACTCATTTGTGGGGAGCTGGGGAGCACTGCCAAGTTAAGCGGACTTTCTCATCTGCTCTGATAATTACTGCGGCAAAGATGCTCCCCAGCGGTCCTGCCTTCTGGTATTCACGCCCTTGAGGAATCTCCTGCCCTGGAGCACAGGCAGGGCCTGTGACTTGGTTCTAAGCAATCGAATATGGCAAAAGCAATGTGATGTCACTCCCCTGATGACATTATATTAGCTTGTGATGTTTTTCTTGCTAGCAGGCTCTCCTTCAGGCTCTAAAGCAAGCCGCCATGCTGTGAACTGCCCTATGGAGAAGCCCACGTGGCTCAGGACTGAGGCTGACAGCCAGTAAGGAACCAGTAAAGAACTGAGCCCTCAGTCCCACAGCCCACAAGGACCTGAGTCTTGTCAACAACCACGTGGGCTTGGCAGTGGGTCCATCTCCAGCTGGGCCTTCAGGGGAGTCTCCAACCCTGGCCAACACCTTGACTGCAGCCTCTTAAAATACCCTTAGCGAAGGACCCAGGGCCTTGCCTGGCTTCCTGACCCCCAAATCATGAGCTAATATGTGTGTAGTTTTAGACTAAATTAGTAGTTATTTGTGATATACCTATTCATGGCCATCATCCATTTATTCATTCCTTTGTTCAGCAAGTGTTTTTAAATGTGTTATGAATTAGACATATGCTAAGCACTAGAAAACAAAATAGATTATGATGTATGTCCTCGAAGAGATTAGAGGGGGGTACAGGCATTAACAATTAACCATAACTAAAGCTAAATAATTTCAGTTGTGATAAATGCAATGAGGAAAAATCATAGCACATTGTAAGTGTATATAAAAGGGCAATGAATTCAATCTGGAGGCCCCAGGAAGGCTTGCTTGAGGAAGTGACATTGGAAAGATTCAGAAGAGTTAGTTTTCCCAGGCAAAGGATCAGCATGGGATCCCTCAGCCTTGGTGTGAAGACAGAAATGGAGTGCAGTGAGCAAGGGAGAGTGGTTTGCCATGAGGCTGGAGAGGTGGGCAGGGGCCAGGCCCTTGTTGGGAAAGCTCAGAAGGATTTTTAACAAGAAGTGGCACAATCAGATTTGTATGTTCAGAGAGTGGGATATTGTGGCCACTTTAGAATTTCTACGTGCACTTTACATTTATAAAGACCTTGCTATATTCCAAGTACTATTCGAAGCACTTTATATGCATTAAAACATTTAATTCTCACAACCTTCTATGAGAAAGGAATGAAGTTACCTCTATTTTTCAGATGAGAAAACTGAGGCACAGAGAGACATGGTGACTTGACCAAGACGGTGTGGCCGCAGAGTGGCAAAGCCAACCCAGGCCACTGAGCCCAGAGCCCACCCACCTTACCACTGCCTCACTTCCCTCCCTTCGATAGAGGAGGGACTTGGGGGCCCTGGCTGCCAGGTGGCAGTTGGAAATTCATCTCCCACCTATACTTGAAGAACGCTTTTCTTAAACCTGGGAAAAATCAGCTGTCTATGTCGATGCTGTCTAATATGACAGCCCTTAGCCACAACGTGGCTTTTGAGCATTGAAATGTGACTCGTCCCATTGGGATGTGGGTTTGAAGTCTTAGCATGAAAAACAACGTAAAGTATCTCATTAATAATTTGTATATTGGTTACATGGGTAAAAGATAATATTTGGGTATACTGGGTTAAAAATACATTACTAAACAAAATTCACCTTTTTTTTTACTTTGAATCTAGTTACTAGAGCGTCTAAAATCGCGTATGTGGCTCGCAGTTGGTTTCTACCGAATGATGCGGGCCTGTCTAAAGAGTGAGGGTCTGTGATGGAGGATATGGGGGACTGAATCTTTCCCCAAGACCTCGCTAGATGTCCCACTGGAAGCCCCCTGGCCTTTCTAAAGGAGCACTGTGGGGAGACTGTAAATTATCTCCCAGAGAAGAGTGGGGAGGGTGGAGGAAAGTGCTTGGGGCAGGGGCTGAAGTGGCCAAGCCTGGAGCAGGGCTTTGGCCCGGGGCAGAGGCGGGGGGGGGGGGGGGGGGGGGGTTCCTTCCCTTCATAGCTGTCAGCATTAGTGAGATTAACTGCAAGGCGCCTGAGAGGGGTCCGAGATGGGTCCGATGTTTGTTCAGAGCAGTATATGGTACGTGGTAAGTACAAGTATGGGCTGTTATTATGATCGCTGTTATTATTTAGGGCCCTGTTTGGGTTTGGAAGCACCAGTGTCGCAGGCCTTCAGAGCCCCATATCGTCCCAGGCCCTGGGGTGGCTCAGAGGAGCCTCCTCAAGTGCTCCAGATCACACAAGACCCCAGGGACCTGTGACCCACCTTGCAGCTCAGGGTGGGAGCCTCAATTATAACCCAGATTGAATTTCCTGCCAACTGGTAAGTGGACACTTGGAGTTGGGTTTAATTTGATTTAGAAAAATAGTGTGCCAATTCTTGTGGCTGAGTATTATGTTCGAGTAAAATTCATGTCCATTACTGAGGTGTTTGAGTTCTGAGGCAAGAGAGAGACTTCAGCAATTTTAGCAGAGCCTTAAAATAGAGTTTTTGACTAACAGCCCCTACTCCTGGGTGTGGAGAAACTCTTCCATAGAAATATTCTTCTAATGCAATGGCCCGGATGTCTGCGTATTTGAAATACTCTAAAAGTCACTTTATAACCTGTAACTTCTTGAGGTCCTTGAAGGCTTCTGGATGAATCCTGAATATCTTGTTGCTCTTTAAGTAGAGGTTTTCCAGCCGCAGGCAGTGCCGAAGGTCAGACAAACCGATCTGCGCTATCCCGTTGAAGGATAGATCCAGACTCTGTAATGACTTCAGTTTCCACAGTCCTGTTAAAATGGAAAAGCACGTTAAAGTACACACGGGTGGTATTTACTGTTGGTTATCACGGTCAAACAGTTGTGACACCCTGCCGGGCTGTCCGTGCAGGACCCGCTGAACGGCGGAGGCTACGGGGATCTGCGCACGATGCACCGCGTAGGAAGGAAAAGGTTCTGTTGCAGAGCAGCCTAGAGTGGAATTCCGATGTTCTTGGGGAAGAAAAGAGCCACATGCAAACAGATACCCATGTTCTGAGCCAGCAGAGGAAAAAGGCCGAGAGGGAGCTGAACGGAGTGATCAATAGTAGTAACACTCCAGAGTTCTTGTTGATCCTGCAACATTTCTAGGCATTCGCTTATTTTTCAGAGGTAATAAGTTGTAGCGAGGTTTTGTTTTCTGACAAAAAGAATCTAATTGGGTTTTGGTCTCCGGCTTTGTATTTCACTTGATTCCAGAGAGTAACCAGGAGGCCCATTTGGCACAGAACACAGAGGCTGGGAAGGAGGTGCCAGTCATAGCAGACTTCCAAATCTGATTTCCCATATGAGTCTCATAAGGATGCCCTGCATTTTCACATTTCCCTTCTGCTCTATTCTTACATATAGCTTGTGTCTCTCTCTCTCTTTAAAGATTTTATTTGAGAGAGAGCAAGCAAAAGAGAGAGAGAGCACCAGCAGAGGGGAGGGTCAGAGGGAGAAGAAGACTCCCGCTGAGCAGGGAGCCCGAAGTGAGGCTTGATCCCAGGACCCTGGGATCATGACGTGAGCTGAAGGTAGATGCTTAACCGACTGAGCCACCCAGGTGCCCCCCACATGTAGTTTGTGTCTTTAACCAACTACTACTTAGCAGATCAGGTTGGTTCAATTCCAGAAGGGTTTATTCCTTGTCTACTGTCTGCAAGATACTCATTATCAGACTGATTATACAGAGATGATGACTTAATGTAAATAGCTGTACCTCAGTGTTATCTTATATTCACATCAGCTGTACAGATTAAGTAAGAGATCATTAGGACAACTCAATCAAAACATTATGAGCCAGGCACTTAGTGCTGAGGACAAATAGAGCATAGCATCCTTGTGTCTGAGTGAGTGATAAGACATACACACGAGAAAAAGTACTAGTTATACAAACCGTTATACCCCCGCCATCCTACTATAAAATTAACTGTTGTTTGCCTGTCAGCCTCTCCATCAGATGATTAGTCCCTTCGGGGAGGAATTCATATTTTTGTTAATTCTTACAATGCCTGGAATATACTATGTATCCAATAAGCCAGAGGTCACAGTGTTTGACCCACACAGAGATTTAAAAATTATTGACCTAACAATAAAGATTCAGCACAAAAATTCGCATTTCTAGCTTCTCTTGAAAAATTAAAGTTCCAACTGGCACAAGATAATGCTTTGTGAGAGCTGAATGAGAGCTGCCTGCTTTAGCTGGGGCAGGCACTTATAGAAGAAGATGATTTCTTTGTACTCAATGCCTCTTATCAAAAACAGGAAAACAAAGGACAGGCCACGAAGCTGCATGTTTAAAAAAAAAAATGGAAGAGAACCAAGGCTGATATTCAGCTGGCATAGGCTAGTAAGAAATATTTCCATATTGGTTTGTAAATAACCATTGCTGGGCCCTTGTGGGCTGCCCCACTGCCCTAGGAACCCAGCGGGAAAGCGCCGGTTATAGGCCAGTTGTGAAATATTTTGAATATAACCCCTAGAGAAAACATGTTTCTTCATGGAGTGAAGACTTTTTCCTATACGTTTTATTATGCAAACATATGGGTCTATGAGAAAAAAATGCAGCATAAGACAACAATATAAAAGAAGCTATGGTTTCCTTAACATCGTCATGGCACTTGCCTGGGTATATATATATATGGCTGTGAGCTCATAGTTCCTGTAATATCTTGCTGCTTATTTGACTGGAACATGGACCCTTGGAGTTCCATGGAGGGAAGAAATCATTTTAAAACTCCTGTTTAACTGTATACTCTCTTTATGCTCTGAGCACTTCACAAACATGTCCTCTTAATCCTCACAAAGCCCTGGGTGTTGTTACCATCTTGTAAATGACAAAACCTAGGTGCAGTGAAGTTAAGAACTTGCCCCATGTCAAAGTAGGTAGAGCTGTGGAGCTGGGATTGAAACTCAGATCTCTCAACCATTATTGTTTCACCATGAACATTTCATACAAAACAAACAAAAAGGGCAAAAATAGTAAACATGTATTGTAGGACTCACAATATATATGTAGAGGTAAAGTGTATGACAGAACTAGCACAAACACCAGGAGAAGAGAGGTGGAAGAATATTGTTCTAAGTTTCGTGTGTTACGGGCAAGTAATAGAACACCAAATAAAGATGTTAGGATGTATACTGGAAATCCCAAAGCAACCACTAAAACAACACAACAACAGCAGAGAATTATGTCTAATAAGCCTACAAAGGAGGTAAAGAGGATTCATTTTAAAGATACACAATTAATGCAAAAAAAGGCAGAAAAAGGTAAAAGGGGGAACAAAGAACAGAAGGAACAAAGAAAAACTATCGAGATGATAGATAGAAATAATAGTTTAAAAACACTAAATAAAAGGCAAAGATTCCAAGTTTGGATAAAAATTCAAGTCAACGATATAATTCCTACAAGAAACCTACTTTAAATATAGAAACATGAGTAGGATACATGTAAAAGGATGGAAAAAATAGTCTTTTCTACAAATGGTGTTGGAATAATTGCATATCTTTAAAACTTCTATAAGTTATTCATACCATGTACAAAAAATTAACTCAAACTATTTTAAAACTATCATAAACCTAAATGTAAAACCTAAATTTAAACCTAAATATAAATAAATCATAAACCTGTAATATAAAATGTAAAAAAGTAAAGTTATAAAACTTCTAGAAGAAAACAGGAGAAAAATCTTTGTGACTTTGGATTGGGCAAAGATTTCTTAGATACAACACCAAAACACAATTTATAAACTAACAAAGTGATGAACTGTACTTCACAAAAATTTAAAATTCTGCTCTTTGAAAGACATTGTTAAAATAAAAAAATACTCAAGCCACAGACTGGGAGAAAATATTTACAAGTCACATATCTGTGAAAACTCTTGTATCCAGAAGATATAAAGAACACTCAAAACTCAATAATTTAAAAAACATTAGAAATTGGCCAAAGATTTATATACATCATCAGAGACATACAGATAGCAAATAAGCACACAGAAAGATAATTCAATATCATTAGTCATTAGGGAAATCCAAATTAAAACCACAATGATATACCACTATGCATCTATTAGTATGGCTAAAATTAAAAAGATGGCCCATATCTGGTATGGGTAAGGATATAGGACAACTGAAATTCTTACATAATGCTGGTGGGAATTTAAAATTTAAAACATTTAAAAATTTAAAATTTAAAATTAAAAACAACCACCGCACACAACACTGGCGATTTCTTCAAAAGTTAAACATCTACTTGACATACAACTCAGCCATTCTCTGCCTAGGTTTATTACCCAAGAGAAATGAAAGCATATATCACCACAAAGACTTAGTTTCATTATTCTTTTAATGTTGATAGGAACAGTAGTGATGATCCCTCTTTCATCTCTGGTACTGGCAATTTGTGTCTTCTTATTTTTTTTCTTGGTTAGTTTGGCTAAAGGATTATCAGTTTTATTTCTTTTTTCCAAAGAAACACGTTTTGGTTTTGTTGATTTTATCTATTGTTTTCCCTGTTTTCAATTTCATTGATTACTGCTGCAATTTCTATTATTTCTTTTCTTCTGCTTGCTTTAGGCATACATTGCTCTTACTTCTTTAATTTCCCAAGGTGGAAACTTATGTTATTGATTTTAGACTTCTCTTCCAGTGGATGCTTTTAATGCTATACATTTCCCTCTAACTGCTGCTTTTGCCACATCCTGCAAATTTTGATAAACTGCATCTTCAATTTCACTTAGCTTAAAATATTTTCAAATCCCTCTTGAGACTTCTGTGACACATGTGTTATCTAGAAATGTGTTGTTTAATTTCCAGAGATTTGAGGGGTTTGCTGCTTTCTGTTGCTGATTTCCAGTTTAATTCCATTGTAATCTGAGAACATACTTTGCATGATTTCTGTTTGTTACTCTAGTTTGTTAAGGTGTGTTCTATGGCCCAGAATGTGGTCTGTCTTGGTAAATGTTTCATGTAAGCTTGAAAAAAAATGTGTATTCTACTGTTGTTGGAGGGAGTATCCCATACATACCAATTAGATCAAGTTGATTGATAGTAATATTCAAGTCAACTACATCTTTATTGATTACCTGCCTGCTTCATCTACCAGTTGACAGGGGAGTGCTGGAAGTTTCCAACTATAGTGGATTTTTCTAATTCTCTTTTCAGTTGTCAGTTTTTCCTCACATATTTTGACACTTTATTGTTAGGTGCATTCACATTTAAAATTATTAGGTCTTGGCACCTGGGTGGCTCAGTTGGTTGGGCGACTGCCTTCGGCTCAGGTCATGATCCTGGAGTCCTGGGATCGAGTCCCGCGTCGGGCTCCCTGCTCAGCAGGGAGTCTGCTTCTCCCTCTAACCCTCTTCCCTCTCGTGCTATCTCTCATTCTCTCTCACTCAAATAAATAAATAAAAGCTTTAAAAAAAATAAATAAAATTATTAGGTCTTCTTTAAGAATTGGTCCCTTTATCCCCTTTATATAGTGCTTTATTTATCCCTGATAGTTTCCTTGTTCTAAAGTCTCCTTTGTCTGAAATTAATATAGTCACTCCACTTTTCTTTTGACTAGTGTTTATCTAAATGGTTTATCTTTTTTTTTTTTTAAGATTTCGTTTATTTATTTGATAGAGAGGGAGAGAGAGAACACAAGCAGGGAGAACAGCAGAGGGAGAGGGAGAAGCAGGCTCTTCACTGAGCAGGGAGCCCGATGTGGGGCTTGATCCCAGGATCCTGGGATCATGACCTGAGCTGAAGGCAGACCCTTACTGAACCAC